ATTTTAAAGATTATTTTTTATTTTTTAAAATATTTTATTTATTTATTCATGAGGGACAGAGAGAGAGAGAGGCAGAGGCAGGGGTGCCTGGGTGGCTCAGTCGGTTAAACGACTGCCTTCGGCTCAGGTCACGATCCTGGAGTCCCAGGATCGAGTCCCACATCGGGCTCCCTGCTTGGCAGGGAGTCTGCTTCTCCCTCTGACCCTCCCCCCTCTCATTCTCTCTCTCTTTCAAATAAATAAAATCTTTAAAAAAGCAAAAACAAACCAAAAAAATAAGCCAGTCAGAGAAAGACAAATACCAATGACCTCACTCATGTGTGGAATTTAAGAAACAAAACAAAGGAACAAAGGTGGGGGGAAAGAGAGAAACCAAAAACAGACTCCTCTATAGAGAACAAACTGAAGGTTGGGTGGGGGGGATGTGTGAACTAAGCAAAGGGGATTAAGAGTACACTTAATCGTGATGAGCGCTGCGAGATGTATAGAATTGTTGAAACAATTATATTGTACACCTGAAACTAATATAACACTGTATGGTAACTATACTGGAAGTAAAATAAAATAATTTAAAAAGTGATTGGAGAATATATTCTATAAAATTGTCACCCCTTGAAATTTTTATTTTATTTTTCTAAAGGTTTATTTATTCATTTTGGGGGGGGTAAGGGCAGAGGGAGAGGGAGAGTCTCAAGCATACTCCCTGCTGAGTGCGGAGCCCAATGCGGAGTTCCATCCGAAGACCCTGAGATCATGACCTAAACTGAATTCAGATGCTTAACCTACTGAGCCACACAAGCACCCCTCTATTTTATTTTTTAAAGATTATTTTTAAAGATTATTTTCAAGTAATCTCTACACCCAACATGGAGCTTGAACTCACAACCCCAAGATCAAGAGTTTCATGTTCTACCGACTGGCCAGCCAGACGGGTGCCCCCATCCCTTAAAATTATTAAAGGCTTGGTTTATGGCCAGGAATATGGTGTACTTTGGTAAATGGGCCAAATGTAATGCCCTTCTTTATCCCTGATAACTTTCCTTGCTTTGAAGTCTGCTCTGTCTGAAATGAATATACGTAGATCTACTGGCAACACGCATAATACTAAAGGTCCATTTAGTTCCTTTTACCCAGCACATCATGTCTGGCTATCAGGAAAATCTTACAAGGCATTTACCAAAAGGAAAAGAAAAATACAGTTGGAAGAGACAGAGTGAGCATCGGAAGCAGGTATAGCAGGGATGTTGGAATTATCAGACTGGGGATTTAAAGCAACATATGATTCATATGCTAAGGGCTGTAATGGATAAAGTAGACATGCAAGAACAGATTAGCAATGTCAGCAGAGAGACGGAGATCCTAAGAAAAAAAAATCCAAAAAGAAATGTCTGAGGTGTTGGGGGGAGAGGAAGTGTTCCAGTCCTGTGATTAGCGAGCCTGCATCACTAGACCGTGAGCTTCACAAGTGTTTTTAATTTTTCCCCGCTTCTTAAGTTGGGGAGGACAGGTGGGATGGGCTGGAGGCGGGGAGTTCTCTCCCCGCAGGTGCGCTAGGCTCTCGCAAACTAGTTTCTCCTTAGGGTGGGAGCCTCCTTAAGAACAGAGTGCTCTGGGGGCGCCTGGGTGGCTCAGTTGGTTAAGCGACTGCCTTCGGCTCAGGTCATGATCCTGGAGTCCCGGGATCGAGTCCCACATCGGGCT